GCGCGCGCGCGCGCGCACACACACACACACACACACACACACACACACACACACACACACACGCACACGCATGTTATTTTGGGTTTATTTTCACCTGAAAATATCAAAGCACTTAAGTAAATCTTATCATGCCTACTGGGGAAGCTGAGGTAAGTAAGCAAAGTGCCCCTGAACAAGCCAATCTGAGAGCTGCATGTGTAGAATTCACCGCTCAGACTCCCTGTCCCTAGTCAAAGGATTAGAAGCTTTGATGATTAATCAACAATAAATAGGAATACAAACCATTCAGTATCCTATCCATATCAGCAAGGGTTATATTGCAATGATGAAACTGACAGTCCTTTAGAAGTCTCCAGAACTGGAGCTTAGTCATCAGGAAGGTGTTGTCAAGTGACTGATCACAGCCTAAACTGCTGTAAAAACTGTAGATTCTCCTCAGTTGTGTGATGTGTCTCAACACAGCATATTCTATCTGAATAAAACAATAAATGTAGGTGTTAGCTGTAGTCTATTCACATGGATGTTGTTTTGACTGAACCCATCCTGACAAAATCTATCAAAAGCTGTTTTTTTGATGGTTCAGGATAAATAAATGCATCTCATGAAGCCCCTGACACATTACACCTATTGTGCAATTAAATGGTTACTTGCACAATAAATTATGGTGTGAGTTTCCATCAAATGATAAAAACTGTTGCTTGGTAGGAATAACATCTGCCAGGGACTTCGGTCAATTTGCCAGTGGACAAACATCCAGTTCCCCAAAACAATACCAAATCTAACACACCAGATACCCTTCTGGCAGTCACAGCACAGGAGGTCCAAGCACAATAGATATGGAGCCTGAACTGCCTTTTGTCAGGTCAAATACAAGAGACACTGGCAGGAAGTCCAGGGGAAAGTTGAACTGATGCTGCACAAATTGTGTAAGATAGCTAGAGGCCTTCAATATCATTTGCTTTACAGAAGAACATAGAAGTCATGTACAGCAACCAATGTCTTATTGTGCAAACACAGAATAAAAGGCAGGCCCTGTCCCCAGAATTTAATTTTTCAAAACTGTCTATCATAACTTGACTGGGCAAGTAGAATGTTATACTTCTTTGATGACACCTTGTGGAATGTGGGCGTGTCTACACGAGACGCAAATGTCACTGTAGTGATGAGCAATGTGGCATCAGCAGGCGTGAACCATGATGCCAATGCTACTGCGCAGTAGGAACAAGCTACATGGGAAGTAGCACGAGATAAAATCCATGCAGCATTGGGACTGTGCAGTAACTGTGCAGTCCAGTGCATGTGTAGATGTCCACAAAGGTTCACTGCTGTCCCAAGTCTTATGAAGGGCCATTTAATGCTTTTTCACTTGCACTGAAGTGTTCTAACACTTTTTATGGGATGCTCAGCAAGGGGAATACTGCCTGTTTGTATGTTCCTTCCTATATCTTGCTGTTGTTGGTTACCTTCTTCAGACTTTCAGATCACAGGCAAATACAGACTTGTACATAAAATGAAAATAAAATCAAGTTACACAGAATGAAGAACAGCAGCAGGCACACTGAAGAAAGCAGATGCAGGCTCTTACCTGTTTTACTTCCTCCTTTCTGTCATTCTCTGGAATCAAGTTCAGCAATGAAGATATATCTAGTTCAATGTTTGAGCCCAAAACAGAAGTATTTCCTTGACAATCAGTTATTCTAATGGTCTCTACCAAGTGAGCAAAAGTAACAATTAGCCTGGCTCCACTAAATACCTAGTGATATACAAATATAAAATAATACTCTCTATTATCTCTCCCCCTTCTCACTGATTTCAAGAAGAGAAGACCTAACTTAGTTGGTGAAACACCTGTTTCACTGGATGAATCTTAACAGATACACATGAAAAGACATTAAGACATATATGCACCTTATTAATGAAACATATCACACCAGGCTATTCTATCTTGTTAAACTTCCATACTGCAGTGTTTCCAAATACACCTAGATTATGGATTTAGCAGCACATGGCAAGACTTTTCAAACAGGCTTCATTGTCAAGGATGAGAAGAAGCATGGAAACAAAGAATAAATAATTGATGGTGCCCTTTCTTGACGGTACAGCCAGTGGAAAAATGTTATTATACAGGTTTCCCTCACTTTATGCTGTACATGTGTTCCTGGAAAACAGTGCATAACTCAAATTTGCATAAAGGGAACCCACTTTACAGTGTAACAAATGTTCCAAGACCTTGAATGTACTGACCCCCAGACCCATTTCTACCACTTTTACAAGACAATTTTGGTACTCACCAACAGCAGACAGTACACACAAGCACAGGGCACTATCATACTTGGGATGGCAACTACAGACATACATGCCGCAGACAATGAGCAAGGAGCACAGATCCACACAGGAGAAGATATTTTGGTGTGCCTCATTCCCACAATGCACCACATAAAGTAGCTGACTGCAGGCTTCTACCACGCTGATCGCATAAGAGTGAATTTACCTCGCATATAATGAATTTTTGGTATAAAAAGGATTTATGCATAGAGCAAATTTTTATATAAAAAGGATTTATGCATAGAGCAAATTCACATACAGAACCCGCATAAAGCAAGGGAAACCTGTGTGTCCTTGTCAAGATTGACTGTTCTTAGCAGAAGATAGCTACGGATTTTAAAATTACAAGTTCATCTGGATGGAGTTTGTCCCAACCTGAGCAGAACTGCTGCCAAATCAGGACAGAGCAAAGGAGAGGTTTAAATCATCTGTACATGTATGCTCATGACTTATGCTCTATCTAGTTTGGCGATGTCTCAGGCTTTGCATGGGTGATGTAACACCTAGGCTGAAAGCATGATGCAAGGTCCAGAACAGTGAGAGCCTTATAGACACCTCCATTTCTGAACTTAGCAGCCAAACAGCAAGTTTTTGTTGTTGGGGTTTTTCTTGTTCTTTAGGTGAAGGGACTGATCATGAAAATGTAAAACATTTTTTTTCCTGTCACCTAGATACATATTCACTATTTGGTCTAGTGAACATAGACTTAGGAAACCAATGTAATATAAAATCAGTTTAATTTTTAAATGAAAATATTATGATCTAAATCTGCAATTATCCAAGACAACTTCTATTAGTAATTGGGCTTTTTGGTTGTCTTTTAGCTTCTCTTTTTTACTTTACACATTTAGCTTCTCTCTTTCCTTGGAGTCTCAGATCAGCAGAGACTCCCTATCCCTGAAAAAGGAGGACTGTGCCCAAAAGCTTGCTAAGAACTTTTTTCCAACTACTCAGTTGGTCTAACAAAAGATCTTGCATCTACTCAAAGAACCTTGTCTGTCTATTAGTAATTCAAATTTAATTTATTAATCAATATATCTGTGGGACACGTGTATGTTTCCATTTAAAAGTCATATATCACTCACATAATTCAAATATTTTAAACCAAACTTCTCTGCTTTCCTGTCACTTCAGGCTGCTTACCAGTGCCAATGGGGCTTTGTGTGCGAATGCCACTCAGATCCTGTGTATTCATTGCATCCACTTGAAAAGTGGGATAATCTGCAATTTGATCATTTATAAACTCTCCTTCATAAATACGTCCGTTCTTGAAGACAAACCTTCCCTAGAGAGAAGAAGAGGCTCTTTGCTTTTGTTTATATAAATATATATATATATATAGTGTAAAAACATCACTAGAAAAGAAACGCCTTCCCTAGCACTTAGAAGGCTTCCCTTTGTAATCTAAAGGAAGTTTAAATTGCAATCCATGAGATACTGCAAAACAAAGGATGATATTTACACTCTTGTGCAAAGAGTGTTGAGGTGAAGTATTAAATATCTGTTCAACACATTTAGAACAGTTTGCAGCTTTTCACAACAGACTGTGCCTAGATTTCGGCACTTTAGATAGGGCTGGAAGCACTGTATTCATGTGGGTGTGACCTTGTGCAAAGGCAAGTTGGAATCTTCTGGAGGAAAAAAGTGCATCACACATTAAAACTGACCTTAGCCAAAAAGACAAGAGAAAGTGAAGGTTATTTTTCAACCAAGAGGCTGAAAGGATCAGACATCTCATGCACTGAAAAAAATTGTGTTAAAACATGTTTCATCATATACAAACTGTGATCCTCCTCAGCAGTCTGATCCAGTGCCCAAGGAGCTTGATGGAAGGTCTCCCATTGACTTAGTAAGCATTGTAGTTGATGTGTGCACTTAGCAAAATGAATGCTGTTTTCCTTGAAGAAACCTAGCCATCTGCTACACAGAGGGCATGTCTACACATGCTATTAACGTGCAGCAATAAACTCTACAGTTTATTGCTCCTGGGAAGATCCCAGGTGCACAGTTTACCCGTGTGCCTGGACCACAGCACATTGAGCTGGGTTGCAGCAGCCCCAGCTGGCAAGGGGCTCAGGGCGGGGGGTGTCAGCCTGTCAGCCCAGGGTTGCTCCAACTGGCCTCAGTGTGCTGTGGAGGGGATGGCTAGGGCACAAAGGTGCTTCAGTGCAGGGCTAGCTGGCACACAGCCCCTGCACTGAAGCATCCTTGTGTCCCAGCCAGTTGGTCAGTTGTGCACAGCTGCTCATGAAGAAACAGCCTACATGTGCGCAGCTGTTCATGAAAAAACTCCACAGCAGGGTAGTACTTGTATTTACGAGTACTACCCTGCTATGGAATTTATTGGTTTTGTGCACCCTAATAGGGGCACACATGTGGACACCGAGACATTTACTGCAAAGTTAATTAGTCGACTGCGCAGTAAATGTCTTGTGTAGATGCACCCAGAGCCTCTTTCACTATCTTGGCATTTTATTTTTCTCATTTCTGGTTAATACTCACAAAGCCATGCTTTTTATTGCAAATCCATTCTCCATCATACATTGCTCCACTGGCATAGATGAACCTTCCACGCCCATGACGATCACCCTTCACAAAATTTCCTATGTATTCATTCCTCAAAGGATACTGAGACCCAGGTATTCTCTTCAGAAACCAGGTGTGGGTGCCATACCCATGCTGAAAAAATATAGGCTATTATGAGAACTCTACTCTGGTACAGATCTAGTTTCACAGAAAGGAGGAAAATGACTCTGGACACCTGCTGATAATTACACTAACTGGGATTCAATACATCTCTGGGGTGCACCAGCTATGACACAAGGTCTCCAGTGGGAGTTATGGGAAAACATGCTATATACATCTTGATTCTACCTCTTTCTTAAAATACTGAATTTAGATACCAAGCTAAATGACTAATAAGGTGAGATCTACATTGTCATAAAAGCAGTTTTATACAACTTGTTCATTTGAAGGGCTTTATTTCCAATTAAACTTGCATACTATGCAACTCGACCTGCCTAGTGCAGGTCAGCTATTGAAGGAAAGGAGGGTAATACCTGTATGCCATTTGCCCATTGCCCAGTATACTCCTGATTTATTGTCAGCCACCTCATCCTTCCTTCCCCATGGCGTACATTTTTCTCCCACTGACCTTCATATATATTTCCTGATTCATAACTGCATGAAAACAAAAATAAAATTAATTCTTTAGCCATTGGATAAACATAGACAAAAATGGGAGAGGCTGGCACAAATGATAGGTAGATGCACAATGCCAATTGACTTTCAAGGAGAGTTCTACACTTTCACGTGGGGGAAAAAGGCAATGCTAGAAAAGAGAAGATATGGACTCCCAAGAGGGTAGAAGCTGGACACTGGTTACTTCTGGCAATAAGCAGAAATCTTCACCTCCACATGCAGCGGTTCATCTGAAGAACAGATATACAGACCTGGTAACAGAGAGGGAGGAGCATGTTCCATTGGCCAGACAGCCTCCACCAAGAAGCTGCGATGGGTGGTGGCGGTGGTTGGAGACTCCCTTCTGCGTGGAATGGAGGAAGCCATCTGTCAAATCTGATCTGCTGCCTAGGGAAGTCTGCTGCTTGCCTGGAGCCCAGATCAGAGATATCACAGAGGGATTACCAAGACTCATCCAGCCCTCTGACTACTACCCCATGCTGCTCATCCATGTGGGCACCAATGATACTGCCAGGAGAGACCCTAGGCAAATCAAACAAGGCTCTGGTTGCAAGGGTAAAGGTGTCTGGGGCTCAGGTCATGTTCTCTTCAATCCTTCTGGTCAAGGGAAAGGGCCCAGGCAAGAGCAGGTGCATCCTGCAGATCAATACCTGGCTGCACAAGTGGTGTCGCCAGCAGAGATTTGGCTTCTTTAACCATGGGATGCTGTTCCAAGAAGGATTGCTGAGAAGAGATGGGATTCACCTGACGGAGAGGAAAGATCATCTTCACAGACAGGCTCGCTAACCTAGTGAGGAGGGCTTAAACTAGGTTCATTGGGGGATGGAGACTAAAGCCCGGGTACATAGGGAAGGGGCAGACCTGAAGGAAGAGCAAGCAGGAGGGGCAATAGGGGAGGTATTCTCATACTTCCTGAGAAATTAGGGCAATCAACTAGTTACCTCAGGTGTACCTGAATGCAAGGAGCCTGGGAAATGAGCAGTAAGAACTGGAAGTCCTTGCACAGTCATGAAACTAGAATACGATTGGAATAACACAGACTTGGTGGGAGCTCGCATGACTGGAGCACTGTCATGGATGGGTACAAATTGTTCAAGAAGGACAGACACGGAAGAAGAGGAGGAGGAGTTGCACTTTATGTAGAAGAGCCATATGACTGCTCAGAGCTTCAGTATGAAACTGGAGATTAACCTTAACCCATAGACTTTCAACAGGTCGGAAGGGAGAGCAACAAGGATGATGTTGTGGTGGGGGTCTCCTATAGACCACCAGACCATGAGGAAGTGGTGGATGAGGCTTTCTTCAAACAGAAAGCAGAAATTTCCTCATCACAAGCCCTGGTTCTCATGGGGTACTTCAATCACTCTGACATCTACTGGAAGGGCAATACAGCAGTGCACAGGCAATCCAGGAAGTATTTGGAGAGTGTTGGGACAACTACCTGGTGCAAGTGTTGGAGAGGCCAACTAGGGGCCACGCTCTTCTTGACTTGCTACTCACAAATAGGGAAGAATTGATGGGGAATGTAGTAGTGGATGGCAACTTGGGCAGCAGCAACCACAGGATCCTGAGGAAAGGAAGGTGGAGAACACCAGAGTAAAGACCCTGGACTTCAGAAAAGCAGACTTTGACTCGCTCAGGGAACTCACGGGCAGGATCCTCTGGGAAGCCAGTCTGAGGGGGAGAGGAGCCCAGGAGGGCTGGGTGTATTTTAAAGAAGCCTTACTGAGAGTGCAGGAACAAGCCATCCTGGTGTGCAGGAAAACTAGCAAGTATGGCAGAAGACCAGCTTGGCTTAGCAGGGAACTCTTCAGTAAACTAAATCACAAAAAAGGAAGCTTATAAGAAGTGAAAATTTGGGCAAATAAATAGGGAGGAGTATGACAGCATTATTCAGACATGCAGGGATGAAGTTAGGCAGGCCACAGCGTAATTGGAGTTGCAGCTAGCAAGGGACGTGAAGGATAACAAGAAGGGTTTCTACAAGTATGTCGGTAGCAAGAGGAGGATCAGGAAAAGTGTGTGTCCCTCACCGAATGGGGGAGGCAACCTTGTGACAGAGGATGCAGAAAAGGCTTAAGTGCTCAATGCCTTCTTTGCCTCAGTCTTCACAGGCAATGTCAGCTCCCAGACTACTGCACTGGGCAGCAAAGTTTGGGAAGGAGGTGAGCAGCCAACAGTGGCAAAAGATCAGGTTAGGGACTATTTAGAAAAGCTGGACATATACAAGTCCATAGGGCTGAACAGGATGTACCTGAGAGTGCTGAGGAAGTTCACTGATGAGATTGTAGAGCCACTGGCCATCATCTTTGAAAACTCATGGCAATTAGGAGAAGTATCAGATGACTGGAAAAGGGCAAACATAGTACCCATATTTAAGAAAGGGAAAAAGGAAGATCCAGGGAACTACAGACCAGTCAGCCTTACCATCCCTGGAAAAATCATGGAGCAGATCCTCAAAAAAAATCCTTCTCAAAGCACTTGGAGAAGAAGGCAGTTAGAAATGGTCAGCATGGATTCACCAAGGGCCAGTCATGCCAGACCAATCCGACTGCCTTCTATGGCGAGGTGACTGACTAGATGTGGGGAGACCAATGGATGCAATATACCTTATTTTTAGCAAGGCTTTTTGATATGCTCTCCCACAACATTCTTGCAGGCAAGGTAAGGAAGTATGGGCTGGATGAATGGAGTGTACGGTGGATAGAAAAGTGGCTGGAGCACTGGGCTCAAAGGGTAGTAATAAATGGCTCGCTGTCTAGTTAGCTGCCAGTATCAAATGGAGACAACAGAATACAACAAAAATGGTTAGGCGGCTAGGGGACATGATTTCTGAGGAGAGGCTAAGGGAACGAGGTAGAGAAGATGAGACAGAGAGGATTTAATAGCAGCCTTCAACTACATGAAGGGGGTTCAAAAGAGGATGGAGCTGGACTGCTCGCAGCAGGGCCAGGGGGCTGTGGGTCAGGAGTGAGAGACATGGGCACAGGCAGGGGCAGGGCACTGGCATATCAGGGCTGCTCAGCGACACAAAGCAGCACCACAAAGTAGCTGGACCCACGTCCTGGTGAGCAAAGCGGGCAGGGGGAGCTCTGATTTCCATGATAAAAAACCCAGAATTAAACACCAAAACTTTTAGGTATATAGAATTCATTTTATTATAATGACCGAGGCACTGGTAGGCTTCCAAATTGCTTTCAATTTGTAGATTTATCAAGGAAACATTGTATTCAACTGATACCTATACATATATAGTGGTGTTTTGTTTTAAACATGGAAAAACGTGGATTTGAGGGGTTTTTAAAATCAAAGAATGTTGGATTTTTTTGTATCAAAGAATTTGCAATTGTTTTAACAGAGAAAACCAAGATCCCTGCTGATAATCCAGGGACATGCAAGACTTCAGGGAAGATATCTGTGTTCAGGGTCTATGCACCAAAGTCTAACTTCAACATGCAAAGGAGTAGGCACTGAAGTCCTGCTTTACTGAGCAGTCTTGAGACCTGCTGTTTATAATGGGAGAGAGAAGGCCAGTAGATTTTGAAAGTCATGCTGTGGATCAACTAATTCTGCCTGTAGATGTAAAGATATTGACAGCAATTCCTCAGTTGAATATCTGTATACTGGAGTCTGACTGCAGCGCATAAAGACATCACATTTGTTCCAAACTCAGGAGATTTTACTAAAAATCTCAGTTGTTCTAAGGATGGGAAAGTAGGGGCTTGACTGCACTTATTGCTTACATGGTGCTTTCAATCTACAAAGTAGTTCACAAATATTGGCCAATTCTCTGTTCAAGGTAGGTCTGCTAAAAGCAAGCAAAACACCTTCTCATGCACCTGAAAAGCACAGAATTCACTTCATTGTGGAGAGGAGTCAAGATGATTTCTTTTAAACTGCTGTATAATGTTTACTGTGCCATTCTTTGATTATTTATCTTCAACTGGCTTTTTTTTTTTTTAACAAAAAATAATAGCTACATTTTGAGTAGCTTTAAATGCCTCTACAACCAGCAAGTCAGAGGAAAAAATCAGGTCTATTGCATAGAATGTACAGACTGTATGTTAATGTATTAAATAAAATTAAAAAGAGATTTCTGAAGATTTGCTGAACTGAAGTGTTGTTATACCTACCATCTTATCCCCCAGCCCTCTTTGATGTTGTTTACCCAGTCACCATCATACAAGGAGGTTCCTTCTTGATTATAATAAATGGTACCCTGTAACAAGCAGTATGATCAGTTTAGTAAATCACCATCTAAATATTCACATAAATGATTTAACAACATACTGCATACACCAAACAAAACAAGTACCACATGTACTTAAGAGTTCTCTTGGCAGCAGTTACTAAGAAACTGCCGACAATTTATGTTAAAAGCAATCGAGTCTAAAATAAAATAAATCCTGGTATTCTCATCAACATTAGCTACAGACTTAGATAAGACCATGGGTCAGTTAGGCACCTTAGTATGATCCTATTCTATCTTGCCCGAGTTGCTGAAAAATTGTTAATGCAAAAAGTGGGGTGGCTGTGCTCTCTACTGCTTTTTGTAATCTGGTTGGAAGCAAAGACAAAAAGTGTGTTAGAAAAGTAGATGCACTAAGAGTTTTTAGGGACTTGAATAGGGTGAAATAGGATTTGGCCCTATGTGTTCAAAAAAGGCTTATTACATTAATCCAAAAATTGCCATCCTCCTCAAATCCTTTGGACACCAAGAATGCTGTCACAGCTCTGCTACTGCTGCAATGCAACTAACTACAGCAAACATTCTGACCTGGGTCACAGCCTGGCATACGTAGGCTAACGACTTAGCTATTATTGTACTTATTCACATACTTAGGCTATTATTTTCAGTGCACTTAGAGAGTGAGGTTTGGTTCACTGTCCTTTTCCCAATGTGTCCTAAGCTGCTATTACTATTGAGGTTTATTTTAATCACACAGCCTTAGATCCTTAACTTCTTGACTGACCTAGTCACCATCCAATTAGAGGTGCCAAAAAGAGCAAGAGACATTTATGATTCCTAATTAATTTTACAGCAGTGGAGTGTCTGACATCTACTGTTTACTCCTTCTAGTACAAATCAGCAATCGATACATTAGAGCAGGGATTTTCAACCTTTTTTAGTCTAAGTACCCCAGGAGGCCGAACGCCATGCAGGAGGAGGAGGAGGGTAGCACACGGTCAGACTTTTATCCTTAACATCACTAGCCTGAATGATACTTTGTGCTTCCTTCATTTACCTTCCCATGTCTTTTGCCTTCACACCATTGGCCGATATAAGAAACTGGATGGGTGCCACTCTTGTACATGCCAAATCCATGCCTTACTCCTTTTGTGATTTCTCCTTCATATACACTGCCATCACACCAGGTATAAGTGCCATTATACATCTGAACATTCTTAACAAAGGTGCCCTAAGAGGTTAAATTAAAAAAACTGATTATTCACTAAAGCAAGGGATGTCCTAAATAAAGAGGGGACCTTACAAGATCAATCGGGTCCAGCCCTAATGTCTGTAAAATCTATGAAAAGTGGGAGCAGCTGCCCAGGAGGAAAAGCCCCATCCAAGAGCTGGCCTAAACTAGCCTGCAGAGAAGCCCCAGGATTAGTTACGCTTAAGGAGAAGTTTGGAGATGAATGTTATTTTATCTTACTGCTAAATTTTGTTGGTTGTTGTTGCTGTTGTTGTTATTACTAAAAGCAGAGCACAGGAAGGAAGCAAGTTCAGACTTTACATATGCGGACTATCTGTTCAGAGCAGCAGTTCTCAACCATGGTCCTATGGACTCCATGGTCTCAAAAACACTCTGACTTGTTGTGGTCTTTCTGAGTTCTTTGCAACAGAAGAATTGCTCCGGTTTTTTTTTTGTAATAAAAAATGAGTGAAAACTAAGAGCTGGAATTTTCTCAGCGGTGCCTCAAGTCTAACAAGATTGAGAACACTGGTTTAGAATAAGTCAGGAAAGAAAACATTTCACGATGTCCAAACAAACAGGATAAAAAAAAACCAACTCACAAAAATATATTTTTTCTTTTAGAACACAGCTGCTACCATTATTTTTTCTATCTCTGACTGTAATCATCTCCTGCAAAGTACATGCTCTCGTTGAATTTGCGCATTTAGACCATAACCAATTCTAATGGTGCACTAATAATTAATACAAAACTTTACCTCATACTTCACTCCATCAGCCCATGTGTAAGTCCCTTGTCCATGCATAAGCCCTTCAGAAAACATGCCCTTGAAAATAAAACACATACTATCATTTTTATGTCTTAGCCTATAACTACCAGATAATTTTGGGAGCAGTAACATGCTCTAATTAAAAGCCTTCCACTATTAGCACCAGATTAAAAAACTGTTAATGCCAGCAGCTCTGACAGGAGTTTTAGCTGCCCAGTCTTCAATGAAATCAAAAGGAAGAGTAGCCTGCTCACTTGCAGGGGAAGAATTTGTCTCGCTATACTTGCTGATATACTCACCCTGTACACACTTCCTCCCTCAAAATATGCAACACCTTCTCCTTCATACAATCCATGGATTTTTTCTCCTTCATAACTACAAGAAAAATAAACTAAAGATTACATTTTCATATCACCATGAGTAAATCTGAGACAACAGTAGTTAAAAAGCTGGATTCTACACATCTCCCTAGGGAGGGATGTGCATTAATGTCACCAAGACATGTGAAGCAGCAGCAAACATCTCATTACATCTGTGTCCCTTTGCATAAATACTACCTGTACGCTTCCAGTGAAATTTATTTTCTCTAAATAAAGCCAGAGGAACTAGACATTAAGGCTGCTTGCAGATGTTAAAAACAAAACAAAACATAACCGCGCTTTATTGGAAGCAGCAGCATGTTACTGCAACCTGGCTCTGCAGTATCTGTAAAGACCGGGTGGTTCAAATGGACTTTTTGGCACTTCTAGCTAAAGCTGATTCAATGAGTTATTAGATAAAAGCACCAAAAAAGCCCCACTAAAGCACCCAATCTTTACAGTTGTCAGGCAAGCCAGGTCAAAGTAATGTGCTACCTCTTCTGAGCACATGTAGGGCTTGACACAGGAATGGGCTGAGTTCAAGGGAAAGCAAACACATTGTTTTTGCTTTTGTTTTAATGTGCAAGCATCCTAAATGAATGACTAAGAGTATGAAGCAACATTCTAGGGCCAGGACCAAAGGCTATAGTAAAGGCTCCCATTCTCCACATGCACTCCTGTTCACAAATCTAATAGTGTTATAACAAAGCCTCTGGCCCCATTCTTATTGCCTATTTGGTAGTCAATGCAAATACCCTCCTGCATGGTCAGTCTGCTGCTGTACCACTGTGCAGTGGAGCTTAATTGGAGTGGAGAGCTCTGAGGGTCCATATGCACATGCACTCACAAACATAAAAGTTATCAGTATTTGCTGTTGCACCATGAATTCCTGCCTGGTGCCTTTTAGGCAGAAAGTTCCTTAGCATAGGAGCGTTGTCCACATCTGTGTCGTAGCAGATACATCAGGGCTATTTAAATAATAATTCTGTGTAAGGGACATGTTTCTAACTAAGCAGCCATACTTATAACATACCTTTTTACAATGAGTTGAGTTAGAACAGGCTCTTCATAGTACTGAACAGCCTCTTGAACCACAGGTTCTTCCACCTCTTTTGATTCTTCCTGGGATACCAATGTGTTTGGCTGTACTTCTTCCACTTGATTTAATGATGTCTGTAAACCTGGGAGCTTAGACAAACTACCCTCATGTGAAGGAACAACAGGAGGAGGAGGAGGGAGAGGCACAGATTTTTCAGCCTTTTTGTTATCTTTCTTCTTATCCTTAGCCATAGTTCTAAGCTGTTCCAAAGCTACACTTTTTCCTGAATAAAAATGTGAGATCCTGTGGTCTTCTTATGCAAGAAGTTTAATCTTCAAAACCTGAACTTATTTAACTGGAAAATAAAATGAGAAAAGCAAGTAGCATGATCAAGTCTGGTTTCCTTCCTCTTGCTTTCCAAAAGATTAATATTTTGGAAAGCAGAAGGGATTTTTGCAGTTACTAACATACTCAAAAGTTTCATGTGCTTTTTCTAAAAATGAGGGTGAAAGAAATGCTGCATTAATATACTTTACTTGGTATCTACAACTTGCACTATGAGTATTTATGAAAATAAGGGTCATATTGGGCGATCACATCTTGGTGACTTCAGCATGAAAGCGATAGAACAGTTTAGGTGCCTACAGTCATGGCTTCCATTGCTTTCACGGTTAAAGCTTCCTTATTTTGCATACCTGATTCTGTGGGCACTAATACTACATGCTGCATTAGGTAAGAATGACTTAGAGGTGGCAAAAACACACACATTAAATCCTCATCGCTATTTGGTTACAGCAAATAACATACTGAAGCAAAAAGCCAAAGCTATTATTACCTTATAGCTATTAAGATGTGAAGATTCCTATGAGACTAACTTCCCAAACCTAAAAACAAAGCTAGAAAACTTTTTGGCTAGGAGAAAACAGTTTACACACAGCCAGCTGCACTCCATGCACCCACCTCAGGTTTTATTTGCATAATCTTTTTACATCCCCCGACACGCTCTATTTAAACAAGCGCAGGAGAAAAAGAATATATATTCTAGGATTGATGTTTAATAAAAACTGCCCTTAGGAGTTTCTGCAGGGTAATATTTAACCATTAGGAAGGCTTGTTTAGCAGCCATGAAGCAGTTAACCCAGAAGCTATAAGACCCTGTGCTATCTTTCTAGTGTAGTGAAGGGAGAGTGGGTTGCCTACAGCTGACACCCAGCACTTATCCCATGAACAAAACCGGTTTTGCATATATTGTCCACTTACACAGCTAGAACTTGGGGGTTCATCTTCACTGGCTCTAAGCCTGGCCAGGAAAGCAGGGAATGGCAAAAACAGGCTGTGTAGGAAGCAGCCCCAGATTAGCAAAGGCCCATTCCCCCATTCACTACTGTATGCAGTAGCAGCGTCCTAGGATTGACGGTAACTATAGTAACCGTCTTCCAACCAATCAAATACTTGCAGTTCTCTTAAAGAAACCAACACCCATTTCCTCCCCTCACAAGGACAGTTGTTCCCTTCCAAGTGCTACACCCCGTAGGCAGATGCGCAACAGTCCATTGTCCTTTGCTCTCCTGGGCTAGGACGCTACAGCAGCCCCCATCCGCTGTCATCACATGGCTGCCGTGCACCCCAGCATTCCACTGTGGTACAGTCCAAACTGTCCCCCTCCACAGGCCGGTATGGTATAGTCTCCAATCCCCCAGGTATTATCCTGCAGAAATGCAAAAATGTAACTAATGACATTAAACAAAATGGTTTCAGGATGGGAGATGCGTTTCTTTTCCTCAAGGCAGGCAGCACAGCAGGTGCCAGGCAAACTCAAGGGAAAAGCTTTTTCTTCTGGTGTCTCCACTTTTCATTTGCAATTCCTTTAAAATGATATGATAGTGTTTACAATATTATTTTGCAGTACACACAGCCAGAAGCACTACACTACTACACTGGCTGCCCACCTGCTTTTTGGAAAATATTTGGCTAGTTCATTTTGTTTACTGAAAACACTGGATGGAGAATAGTAGTTGAACAGCATTGTTCATTATACACTGAGTGCATTTATTCACAGTATAATACAGATCCTTAGGAGTAGTCCGGAGGTGAACACAGCTTCTGATCAACTTCACACAATTCAATGGTAAAACCAAGAAAACCCACATCTTCAGTTGTCCAGTCCTGCACCCTATCCCTGAAAGGACTAGTACAAAGGCCCAAACTCACTCCTCTAAGAGAGGCATGGCCACAGAAATGCAAACCAAACCAAAGACTTTTAGGTCAGACCTTGTAACCAATGAAGTCAGAGTTTTACCATTAACTTCACTAAGCAGAAAATCTGGACTCCTGGCTCCTAAGTATCCAGCATAACAATTACTTGGATCCTATAACGGAAAAGGTTAGCAAGATTCATTCTCAAAAAGGAATCCCTGTTCTTTAAAGACTGTTACGGAATCGGTTTCAGTAAAGTGGTGCTTGAGAGGAAAAGGTTAATATTTAAGAGTCAGTTCCTTCCCTTGATTCCTTGGCACCAGTATTTAATGTTTCTCACTACTAAACATTAATACAAACCATAATTAAAGTTGCAAGAGAAAAAAGATGTTTAATTCTTTTGCCTATACAGCAATTCTGATTTCTTTGAAACAGTAGACATGGGTACCATATACTAAGAAAATTAACTGTCAGCATAGTTTTACTACAATCTTGGTTAGATATATTTTACGTTATTTTAAGTCACACCAAAATATGTTCCCTTTAAGGCAGACTGATTAACAACTCAGATTTCGTTATAAAAATTTATTTTTAAAATACAATTACAGCTGAGGCAGGAAAAAAAAACCCTATGAAGCCAGCCTTGACAGAAGGAATGCTATTTACAAGTAAACCTCATGTGTCTTTATACTTGATAAAGGTAATAAAGAAAGCTTACAGGATATGTTTGCATTATAAAAGTAGTATTTAAATATGCAAAACAGTAGCTAAAATAAAAAATGTCATGATAAAATCTACAAGTCAAAAAGACATGGATCAGTATTATCACCAATCAATAAAAGTGAAAATTGCCAATAAAACAAATGCCATGGTTTTATTCTGGAGAAATCAAGTCTAAACTGGCTATGTGCCTCATGGTAGGTCTTCCATGAGGACAGTTCCAAGGATGCTCAATCTCACCCATGTGGGTGATCAATTTCTTCATCTCATTTACATTAAGTGCAGTCCCAATCATCACCTGTGAACAAAAGCAGAGAAGTTTAACAGTCTCTCCCCTGATTAGGGCAACTATTCCATTAAGAGATCATTTCTCCAGTTACAACAGAATAAATTATACCGTGAAAGACATTAAAATAAGGAAACTTACAGGGCCATCAAAATCTAATTTAAATTAAGATGCAAGGGTCTGATTCTACTTTTAACTGTATTAATTTTACAGGGTGCATCTACACACATGCTTCTGCACGGGTAGCTCTGCAGTTAATTAAGTGTAAAATAATTAGCAATTACGTACACTGAAATGCATGTGTAAATGGTGACAGAAGCTGGCTGGGGCATGAGGATGCTAAAGTGTGGGGGGGCTGCCTGCTGCCTAGCCCTGCACTTTAGCACCATTGTGCCCCAGTCAGACCCTCCTCTTTCTGATGCCACCACCCAGAACAAGGGGCTGACCCCCCAAATCCCTTGCCAGCCCAGGGCAGCTCTGCCCAGGCTCAAACTGCTGCAGTCCCAGGCACACATGCAGACGCTGCACCTGGAAGCAGCTGACTCTGGTGCCAGAGTTCATCATGTTGCCTTAATGGCATGTGTACATGCACCCACAGTGATGCAATTAGAGACCAGAGAAATTTGTCTTGTTTTTACAACCGAGCAAAGGACAAGGAACAGAATCAAATATATGGTGTCAATATTCATTAATAAATTTACTCATACTGCACTACATATAACAGACAAATCAGACTACACATGAAACTGAATATACAGCACTTACTAGTGAATATAATCTACTAGAGTACTCACAGATTTTCTACAAGCTCGAGAAGCAAACATCTGTCTGACTCTGGATGGCCTACACATGACTCCAGGACAATCACTTAGCATGAAGATCAGCTCTTCTATGTCCTGAGGACCAAAAGTCCAGTTTTTGCTTGTTGGCAAAGAAATCAGCTTAACCCTTTGAGTTACAGGAGCTGAAAGATTTTTTTAAAAGTGCTAAAGAAACAGTGTATAACTTCAAATAAAAATAAGTAAAATCTGAAACATACTATTTGTAAAGATTGGTTGAGAGTGACCTCTACACACATGCTGAAATAATTATCCAAGTCTTTTGAGGGTTGTTATAAAATGGTTAAGATTTTATCTAGCACAAGTATACAGGCAGTCCTCAGACTTGCGACACAATTGGTTCCTAAACAACATGTCTTAAGTCAAAACGTAATTTGGTACCAATTTTCTCATAAGAAACAATGTTATAATGGGGGATTGGTTCCTGAACCAAGGCCCAATACCCTATTTTCACCAAAAATACCCCAGAATTTTGTACTCGAACAATTATAGATGACTAATATAGCTACATTAATGTATTTATATTGTAAATAGCAATCATATTGCTTTGGAAGGACTTTATTGAGGCGACTTTGCTGGACTTTTTGAAAGGCTCTTGGTAGGACTTTTTGAAGGGTTCTTGGCTGGATTCTTCTCAGGAGTCTCGGCTGCAGGTTTTGCTGGAGTCTTGTCTACTTTCTTTAAGAAAGTGTTCAAGGAAGTTTGGACAGATGTTCTCCAGGGAGATGGGTGACGCAGCAAACTTGTTTGCTGCCATGGCGTTGCATCGGATCAAGTGTTGTAAAGTCAAAACTGACGTCATAAAAGTTGAAACCGAGTGTCAATTTAGAAATGGTGTAAGTGCGAAATGTTGTAACTCGAAACGTTGTAAGTAAGTCGAGGGCTGCCTGTACTTGTTTCTGAAATTCTTTTGTTAACCAAAGAAAAGAAAAAAATCTGGTATATCTAACTTCTGAAAAACTGGGCAACTTTACAGAGCTGACAGTCTAGACCAGGGGTCAGCAACCCTTGGCATGCGTGCCGAGCATGGCACGCAAGGCCATTTTGCTCGGCTTTCCACGGCCAGCCCCAGCTCTGGGTAGCTGCTGCCAGTGACGAAGCCCAGGCTGCTCTCAGCAGGGTTTGCAGCAGCCCAGCTGTCTGCTGGGAGCAGCACGGGCTCCCAGCTGGCAGCAGCTACCCAGAGCTGGGGCTGGCTGCAGCCAGGAGGCTGCAAACAGCTGTGCCGGGCTCCGGAGCCCAGGCATCAGTTCTGTACCGGCATGTGCACACGCAGCTCAGAGCGGGCAGTAGGGGAGGGGCCTGAGGCAGAACAACCTTGGTCTGTCCCCTGCTCTCAGCACAGAGCTGGTGACTGGGCTCTGGAGCCTGGCGCAGCTGTTTGTAGCCAGCCTGTGCTCTGGACAGCTGCAGCAAGCAGGCTGCAAACAGCTGCGCCAGGCTCCACAACTCCAGCACCAGCACCAGCTCCACGCACACACAGTCGCCAGTGACTTAAACCAGTATCAACCCTATTCTACAGATGAAGTAAGGCACTTAGGCTAGGGACAGAAATTATACATAAACCAGTATAAGTGATCGGAAACCAATTCACACCCGCAACACAACAGAAGTTCAGCGCACATAAACTGCTTTCAAATGGCTGAAGCCGGTTTAAGATAAACCTGAATGGATGTAGTATCAGACTTAACTGATTTAGGTTAAATCAGTTTATTGGACTTCTGTCCCATATACACTTCAGATTCAAGTCAACTCACAGTCCCTCAGCATCCCAGGATGCTTTGCACTTCACCCGCAAGCTCCCCTCGCAGGATGGTTGGCCTAGCCTTGACCCAAGCTGTCTGCTCCAGCCAAGCAGGGAGGTGTGCTCTAGCGCCCCCTGCCTTCTGGTATGAGCTACTGCAGGCATTCAGCTGCATTTCTAGAATCAAAAGCGAATGCCAGAATCACTGAATCGATTCAGCTTTGGGATTCTTGACCGTCTGTACTTAGCCTTAGAGTTTAAGTGACCATATAGCAGTACAGTGCTAAAGCCAAACAGAAACCAAAAATCCCAAATGCTAGTTCCTTTCCCTGCTTGTTAGATTCACTTGCATATCTGAAAACCTTCTAATTCCAGATTAACTCCATCTATCTCTAGAAGTGGCAGCTGAGCATACTGAATCAACACCAAAAAATGACTATAAAAGAGTTAACAGAAAATCCTTAAATCAAGCCAATTTCTTAGATAATGAATAAATAATCCACCATTTTACATTAAATATTTTAAAAGACCATAAAGGAATTTATTCTGATTATGGCATGGCAGTATTTCACTAACCCCCCTGCTATTTGCCACTGTCAGGGGATAAGCTACTGAGTTGGACAGATCTGTCTTGACATAGTATGGCAATTCTTATGTTCTTTTTTTTCTACAAAACTCCTGATAAATGTTATAAACAG